CACCTGTAATCCCAGCACTTTGGGAGGCTGAGACAGGGGGATCACCCGAGGTCAGGAGTTTGAGACCAGCCTGGCCAACATGGTGAAATCCTGTCTCTACTAAAAATACAAAAATTAGCCAGTTGTGGTGGCCCACACTTGTAATCCTAGCTACTCGGGAGGCTGAGGCAGGAGAATCACTTGAACCCAGAGGAACAGGTTGCAGTGAGCCAAGATCACACCACTGTACTTCAGCCTGGGTGACAGAGCGAGACTCCATCTCAAAAAAAGAAAAAAAAAATCATGGCAAAATAGAACAAAACCAACACTCCCAAATAAACATAACAAAAACCAACTTGAAAATCCACTGCTGCCTTTGCCAGAGAAGGGTGGTCCGGACCTGCTGTAAGCCCACTGTTCCAGTTTGTCCAGGACTGAGGGGCTTCCTGGGGCATGGGACCTTCAGGACTAAAACCTAGAGAGGCCTGGGCCAGCCAGGACAAGCACGTCACCCCGAGGGGTGGGGCAGCAGCAGGTGCTGTCTGGATGAAGAGCAAGGCCTGCCTGAACATGTGAAGCATGCCCTGCAAATGTTCCTGGTCATTACTTACAGCGGGGATGTCACAGGTCTGGACGAACAGGTGTTTCTCTCTCCCCTCTTTCTCCCTTTATCCCAAGACACATGCCAAAGCTCAACATGCCTGTGGATCAATGTCACGTCAGCAGGGGGCCTCCTGCCTGATACTTGGGCTGTGAATTTTGGGCCTCTGCTTTGGCCCCTCCCTCTCCTTCGTGGCCTGTCCAGCTTCCCCCTGCTTCCACCTGTCCCATTCTACCTGCGACAATTCCTCAGCAGGTAGGAATCATATGAGAAAACTGAGGCTCTGAGATGAAGTGACAGGGCCCGGGTCTGCACTGGGAGGGAATAAGAATTCTTTCCTGTCTTTCCGGATCCACCCTCCCTGCCCCTTTTGGAATTATGTATCCCCTTCCCAATAGCACCTCTTTATTCCCCAAGTCTGGCTTGCACTCATAGGCTGCTCTTCCTCAGAACGCTTTCCACAGGATGATTATAGCAATGGATGCCTGTCTAGTTTTCAGAAGTAGTTTCAGGAACCCTCAAGTCAACCCCATGAGGTGGGTGTAGCCCATGAACTTATTTTATAGAGGAAGAAACGGAGGCGTAGGTTAGCCAGCTCTCTTAAAATCACAAAGAAGAAAGAGCAGGGCTAGCATGCTAACATAGGCTCAAGAAAGGCTCATGGAATCAGCCTCTTATGCCAAGTCCTTTGTCTTTCTTGACCTGGGCCCTGCTGATGTAGACAAGTCTGTGTGTGACTCTGTATCCCTCAGGGTGCCCAGCACAGGCTGGACGTAGAACAGATGCCTGGCAGATGCTTGCCAGGTGAATGAGAGGCCTGTGTGAGTGGCAAGAAAGCAAGGGATATCAGATGAGCAAATGGGACAGGGACTAGCACATGCCTGGAGCCAGTGAATCCAGAGGGATGGCAGGAAAGGGCACTCCTATGAATACCTTCTGCAAATGACAGTCCACCGGCCCATCAACTCCATGAGGGCAGGAGCTGTCTGCTGCTCACTGCTGGCTCCCTGGCCCTGGCACCATGCCCCACACTTGGAGCTCAGTGCATACCTGTTGAGAGTCAGCAGAAGCTCCATGGCATTGAAGCCCTGTGCCCTCTGGGAGACATGAACCCTTTCAGGGTTATGTAGCAGGCACTTGTATTTTATGATTGGCAGAAGTTGTGAATGTGGCCGCAGCTCTGACATGCATTGGGCACTACTTGTGTGCAGGGTTCTGGGCTGAGCTCAAGGAGGACCAAGAGAATGAATAAATCACATTCTCCACCACTGGCCCAATCCACTTTACATGCCCTCCCCACCCAATAGCCATGATCTCATTTTTGGTTATAGCCTTTCCATCCAGATTTTCCTTTGGGAAAGAAACTTTCTCTCCCTGAACCCCCGTCCACACATCCCAGCTCCAGGGGTGGTCACATGGCCCAGGCCTGACCAACCAGCATATTGTATCCCAGAAGTCACCATATTGGCCCACAGGTGAGCACATGACCCAAGCTGGTCCAGTGAAAGTCAGCCTCAGGACTTCCTATGGACCACTGGGAAAGAGAAGGTCTCTTCCTAGGAAGACTACTGACTATAAGGCTGATGGAAGGCTGGAGCCTGGAGCTACAGGGACTGAGCCAGCCTGAGAGAAAAGGCAACCCAGGAGAAACCAGGAGAGAGCAGCAGATACAGAAATCCAATACCGTCATCATTTAGACCATGGATTCAGCAGCTCTGCTGCCTGCACATCCTGATACATGAACGCACACGCTGACATCTTTCTCCCTATTTTTTGAATTGCTTAAGCTACTTCAAAGTGTGTTTTTGCTACTTGAAACTGAGAAAGTCCTGCCATACAGAGCTCTCCTCTTTTACTCTCCTCGCCCAAGAAGCAGCTTCAGTCCCAAACGTCAACATGAGTTCTCTCCCTCTACTCCACCAAGCACTCTCCTCTGGCCTCCTCCCATCTCTGTAGCCCCCAACCTGGCTTCAGGCCCTCTTGGATGGCTTGGGGTCTGAATGTTCTCAAGAGACCCCCAACTGACTCCAGTGTGCCTGCTCAACCCCAACCCACTCCAGTCCAACCCACACTGTCAAAACAGTTGATCTTTCTGAAACAGACAATATAGGCGCATGTCACTTCCCCACTTAACACCTTTGTAGGCTCATCACTGCCCAGAGCAGTTTCCTAAGGCATCAGGTCCATGTCCCTGCAGCTGTGAGAGCTGATTTTAGATGGTACATGAACCCAGCACTCAGACACATAGAAACCTACAACAGGAAACTTAAGCTCCTTTCGATTCACTCACAGACTTTGCAATGACTTTACAGAGAAGGTCTCAGCACTGTGCCGCTGTGGCTTTGGCATCTCTCTACCACTTGCTTCTCTCCCTCTGTAACAAACAGAGAGAAAGCCTCAAGCTCAGAACCTTCCAAAGAAGGCTGAAATTTTAAACCTTGGTTTGCTTCCATTGCATTTATTTTTATGGTCCCCTTCTATTTATGCAAGTGGTACTGCTTTCCCATTTACAGTAGTTTTATAAAGATGAGGAAATTAACTTGTATAAACACAAAAGTGAGTTTATTTAAGGGAAAAAATAAGGCAAATAAGAGATGGTACTTGGATACCCATGAATGCAGTTCATCGTTAGGCAAACAATGACCCATAGGATGAAATGCAATCCGCTCAGCCAGGCACACGAGGCCCTTCCAGGTCCTCCTCCTTGGCCACCCTTTCAAGCCACTGAAGGGCTTGTGACTCCCGAGAAGAGTCTCATAGAGCCGTACTTCCAAGCCTCTGTCCACTCTGTTCCTTCTGCCTGGATGCCCTTTTCCCCCAACCTCCTTAGCAACCTGGGACAATCCCATTTATTCTTAAAGACTCCTGTCAGCGTTACTGTTTACTGGGCTAGTGTTTTGCTTAACTACTCGGGAATTCCCAGTGTACCTGGCAAACCATTTCTGTGTTCTCTCAGGCCCCTTCTTGTGGGTTGCTGACAGGATGGCCTTCCCTGGGAGGGCTGAGATTCCAGAAGGCCAGGACAGTCCTTCTCCTGTCTGACACAGATGCTCAGTGAGCACAAGATAACCCCAAGGGATCCAGCTGGGGGATGTGGATCATCAAATACAAACCACTGGGAGACTATGTCCCCTGGGACCCAAAACGTGGGAGAGTGAGGAGTTCCAAAGGAAGGGAAGGGAGTGATCTCCAAGGGTAGGTGCCCGAGGCCGGGCCCCGCAGTGCAGGCCCAGGGGATCTTTCCGGAGAGAGGAGGTCAGTGAGCATCCCGGGACACAAGGATCCGGCAGAGGCCTGGAACAAGGGTCTGGCCGGCGTGGGTTCTCAACTGTAACCTGCATTTGAACCACCTCAGGACTTGTTATTGTGACAATTCCTAAGTCCCACTCTGAAAGCTCTGGGTCAGTCGGTTTGAAGTGGGCCCATGAAGATGCATTTTAAAACAAATGCTTTGGGTTCTGCTGAAGCAGGTCGTTTGAGGGCCAGGCTTTGAGACGCAGTGTGTCAGGGAAGGATGGAGAACTGTGTCAGGGAAGGATGGAGATGTGTAGAGGCCTCACAATCAAAATGCAGAAATTCGCATCAATTACAAAGATCCTCCAGAACACTGCATCACTGCATCACTGACTGGATACCAAGAGGCTGGAAACGCAGCCTCGCAGAGAACAAGCTTTGTGCCAAGGTTATTTAATATACATACCAAATAATTCCATGGAGATGTGTTTAATGAGATAGATGAGAACGTGATCACGGACATCCTTCAGGCGGGAATTTGAAGGAGCCATGTGAAATACAGAGCCTCCTTTGGAGAGACCTTATCAAGTAGCAATTGTAAACAGGGAATTTTACCATGTAGAGGTCAGGGCTGAGGCCATTTCTGGCTAAAGAAATGCTCCTTTGTTTGAAGGATCGTGCAATCAAATTGTTCAGAGATGGAATTGTCCAAGGCAAACAAGTCAAAGAGAGGTTTTAGCAGAATTCAGTGCACATGGCTGAAAGGCATCTTGTAACTTTGCTCCCAGAGCATTGACTTACCCTAACTGCCTCCTTAAATGTCAATTATAACAGAGAAACAGAACTGTGTGTTGAGGGAGGGGGGTTATTTAAGACCAGTCCCCCAGCCGCTGCCCACTTTAAAGATCTGGCCTTTCGGAACAATCCAGTCCAAGTCACTCATCAAATGGAGATTGACTTTTATCTGATTAACTGATGGAGAAACATCCTTCCCCATCCTGCAGGAGCATTCTGTGGGAACGGCATTTTGCAGACTGCAGGGAAAAGTTGGGCCTTGGCTTCCCTCCTGCTCGGCCAGTGGAAAATTACAAAGGAGGCAGGGCTGCCCTCGGCCATGCTCACCGGATCTTCATGGGCCCAGGAAAACACAAAGAGAAACCCAAAAATGGAGTGAGCCATTACCTACCTGGGGCGGAGAGGAGTCTGGGAGGCGGCGGGGGCGGGGGCGGCGGGGGCAGCGGGGGAGGGGGCCGGCACTGGCAGATGTGTCGGCAGCTGTCAGTCACCTTGGAGCAGGACTTCTGGGGCTCACCGTGCGTCACCTGTGGACATGGGCACACACACCCAAGAGAAGGGAGAAGACAGTAAGGCACCTAGAAGCTGAAACGAGCCCAGGCCACCCTGTCCCCTGCCAGGCTGAGACTTGGGATTCCTCTCCAAGACAAAGGTAGGAAGAATCGACAGAAGTTGGATTGGTTCAAAGGGGACAGTGCTGTTGGGTGCTAGCCTGGCTGGTTTGGAGACCAAGGTTTTCTTCCTAGCTCTGCCAGGGACCAGCTATGGGACCCTGGGCCAGTGACCTGGATATGAATGAGAATGTAGACAAGAGCTGGAAGGTTGACTGGTAGAATTTCTCCATGATACAAATGAGTAAACTGAGGCCCAGGCAGAAGTAGCTGCCCAAGAGTCTCACACTTGAAGAATGAGACCCTTTACGCCCTCTGTACTCTAAGCCCAGCCACTTCTCCTGTCTTCCTTGCTACAGCCCAAGGCCAAGCCCTGGCCTTCTCTCCAGCCCTCACTCCTGTTGGTCTTTTTGTGTCTACTTTGGGGCAAGGGGTCCCCCTCTTGGCGAGAAACCTCACCCTGTGAGGCCTCTGCTCCTGTGTCCCACGTGATCAAAGGGAGCAGAGCAACCTGCTTGATGCTCTCCACTCAGCATCCCAGTAGGTCTTGTGAGAAGGGCACTCCACCAAACCACCTGCATCCCCCCAACAAGCCCCAGATGCTGCCCCACCCTCGTGGGTTCATGTGACCTAGGAGGTCTGCGAGGGGCAATTGCTGACAGCCTCTCTCCCCATCTCTCTGCCCTCATTCTCTCCTGTCAGTTCCAGACCCCTGGCCTCTGCAATTGCTGCTCCAGTGGTGGTAATGTTCTCCCTTCCCTACCCCTGCGGCGCCCCTGACTCAGCTTGGCATGTCTCTGACTTCCTTATCCAGCGGGATTCTTTTGTATGGGCTGTCCTGGCACCAGGCTCCTCTCTAGGGGCAGAAATCTTATTTGGATGTTACCTGGTTCATACGTATCTTCACCATGGCACTGTGAGCTCACTGAGGGCAGAGCACGCCTTTTTCCTTCTTTGTCACTATCATAAATCAGCATTTAAGGTAATGCCCACCAATTTGATAAATCTTTGGTGAATGAATGAATATGAAAAACTGGGCCAGAATCCATGCCTCTTGAATCCCTGGCCTGTGTTTTTCCAGCACCAGTCTCAGCTTCCTCATCTGTAAACAAGGAAGGGTAGCCAGAGTACGCAGTGCTCCACCAGCCCTGGATGTACATTGGAAGCTCCCTGGTGGTTTTAAAAAATACTCATGCCTGAGCCTCACCCATACAGATTAAATCAGAATTTTGCAGGTGGAGCTGGGCCTGGGGATTTTGCTTAAGCTTCCCAGGTTAAACTTCTTATGCAGAGCCAGGATGGGAACTGGGTAGATGGATTAGATTGACTGCCAGTGTCCCTGACTCTACAGAGTGCCATAAATCCATGAGTCTGATGTTTCACGCCTGTCTCAGGGAACAAGCCGGTTTAAAAGCACGAAGAGTTGCCAGTCACCCTCCACCGCCCCGACGGCCACGGTTAATTTCTGTGTCATCTCTGAGCCACTAGAAACCAGAACTCCACTTTCCCTGCCCCTAGCCCTGGGTGGCCTGCCTCAGAATGCTGATCCAGTCCCTCAGCCGCATGACTGGGAGAGCCCCTGGGGCTGGGCAGCTCCCATCGCACCTGGGAAGATGTGAATAAGTAATGTGGGTAATATCAGCTGGGGTGGCAGCAGGAAGTGGGCTGATTTACAGCCCTGGCTTAATATCCAAGAGGCTAAGAGGCTCCTGCTCATCACCTTTTAATGTTTTTAAAGGGCCATTGACTGCATTTCAAAACCTGGAAAGCAATCTTCTCTCCCACTGGGAAGAGCATACCATCAGATGGTGGCCTCTGCTCAATTATTTTACAGAAACGATTAACTCCTTACATGTCAGTGGGAAATCCACCAGCTTCTAGACCAGTGCCATTGTTAGACGTCCCATCATTGAGCCTGTGCCCCTCTAGATTCTGACCTTCTGAGACCCTGGGGTTTGCTAGAAAGCTTCATTCTCCTAACAGCTGGCCTCTGAGACCACGGCTCCAATGCACTCTACCAAGTGTGTGAACTTCAAGCAATACCATTGCCAGTGCAATTATTTTCTCACTCTCCAAGGTGCAATTTATGAGAGAGAGTTCAAGAAGAGCACATTTGTTTAACCTGGCCCGACACAATGACCTATTTTTGTGAGAGGATATGAAGGCACAGATGTATAAGAGTATTTAATGTGATGAAGTTCTAGGCGGAAAAATCGGGGCCAAATTTCAAGGCTGCAGGAGGAGTGAAGGAGCACATAGCATTTAAAAAATTGATAGCTTGGCTGGGCGTGTTGGCTCATGCCTGTAATCCCAGCACTTTGGGAGGCTGAGGCGGGTGGATCACTAGGTCAAGAGATTGAGATCATCATGGCCAACATGGTAAAAACCCTGTCTCTACTAAAAATGCAAAACTTAGCTGGGTGTGGCAGCATGTGCATGTAGTCCCAACTACTTGGGAGGCTAAGGCAGAAGAATTGCTTGAACCCGGGAGGCGAAGGTTGCAGAGCCGAGATTGCGCCACTGCACTCCAGCTTGGACACCGAGCAAGACTCCGTCTTAAAAATAAATAAATAAATAAATTGATAGCTCTCGCCTGTAATCCCAGCACTTTGGGAGGCTGAGGCGGGCAGATCATCTGAGGTCAGGAGTTCGAGACCAGCCTGGCCAAATTGGTGAAACCCTGTCTCTATTTAAAAAAAAAATACAAAAATTAGCCAGGTGTGGTGATGCGCACCTGTAGTCCCATCTACTCAGGAGGCTGAGATGGAGAATCACTTGAACCCAAAGGTCAAGGCTGCAGGGAACCAAGATCATGCTACTACACTCCAGCCTGGGTGACAGAGGGAGACTCCAGTCACAATAAATAAATAAATAAATAAACAAATAAATAAATAAATAAATAAAATTGATAGCTCTGGCTAGGTGCAGTGGCTCACAACTATAATGTCAGCACTTTGGGAGACTGAGGTGATTGTTTGAGCCCAGGGGTTCAGTATCAGTCTGGGCAATAGAGTAAGCCCTCCTCTCCACATTTTTTTTTTTTCTTGAGACGGAGTTTCACTCTTGTTACCCAGGCTGGAGTGCAATGGCGCGATCTCGGCTCACCACAATCTCCGCCTCCTGGGTTCAGGCAATTCTCCTGCCTCAGCCTCCTGAGTAGCTGGGTTTTTTTTTTAATTAGCTGGGCATGTAGGCACACACCTATAGACCCAGCTACTCCACAAACTGAGGTGGGTGGACTGCTTGAGCCCAGGAGGTTGAGGCTGCAGTGAGCTATTGCAGCCCACCACCCTCCAGCCTGGGCAACAGAGTGAGACCCTGCTTCAAAAAAGAGAAAAAAAAAGTAATGGTTCTCAGTCTTTTGTATAAAGGCCTCTCTGAAACATGAGCAGGCACAATTGCTTAGTCAACTGTTCTCACTAAAGCATCAAGTCTGGTCCATCCTTATGCCTGAGGGCTGGGTCCTCACTGCAGTGTCCTGATAGTTTGGTTCAGTCCAAGCCTGTGGCATCTGAGCCTGCCTTGACTCAGGGTTACTTGGACCCCATATCCACTTGCCAACTTCTCTCCATCCTTCAAACCCATCTCTTGAACAGCCTTCTTGGGTGTTCATGCAAGAACTGGACTGAGATTTTTTTCTTTCTTTCTTTCTTTCTTTTTTTTTTTTTTGAGAGAGGGTTTCACTACATTGACCAGACTGGTCTCAAATTCCTGGGCTCAAGCAATCCTTCTTCTTGGGCAAAGCCATCCTAAACCCTCCCCACCCCAAATTAGACTCACCTGCTCAGTGCTCCTGCTTAATTCTGCAAACCCTTCTGTCTGGGGCATTTCCTTGCTGTTTTGTGTTGCGTGTCTCTCTACACTAAGTTGTGTCTTAGGGCGGGCAGGTAGATGAGCACTTTATTAATCCTGAACAATCATGACTTTCTGAACCCTACTATGTGTCCCTCATGTGTTCATGCTCCCATTTCTCCCTGGGCATAACTGGGAGAGGTAAGTGATACTATCCACTCTTAACAGGTGGCCTGCAGGCTCAGTGAAGCTAAATGATGCACCAAAGTTGCCCAGGGCCCAGCATTCAGTCGGTGCTCAGTGAAAAGGTGCACTGCCCACCCGTGGAAAAACGTGGATCTGTCCCGTTCCCCAGTGCTGGTTCCACCTGGGCGTTCTGTTGATTGGCAGTGTTGTATTTAGACTAATAGAGAGGAAGCCTTGGGTGTACACAGCTTGTCTCAGCACCTGGTGTGGTTGGTTTCTATCTTGGGGAATTTCAAAAGGAGAAGGAACTTGCCCCCTGAAATAAGCTGCTCTTAGCTGGACTTCGTTAAGGAAGAGCAGAGGCCCAGAAAGTTCAGGACTTGCCTGAAGCCCACAAAACACAGGCTGCTATCGGTTCTTCCTGGGACCACTTCTTATTCCAGTTTCACCATCACCTGCCTTCCAGGCCCTGCTCTGCAGTGCTCTCCTGCAGCCAAATCCTGTAAATGCTGCGGCTTTGAGAGTGGGCTGAGCCACAGGTACGTCCTGGAGTCTCCTGGATTTGGTGTCTGGAGCAGGGGTCTGAGGCACACAGTGCTCCCAGCCATCAGTTCCCTCTTCTCCAACCACCATCCTACTCCTGGTAAATCAGTGCAGTTTTGGGTCCAGCGGACGTTGCCTCCTAAACCATCCTTGAATCCATCTACTCCTCTCCATTTCCTCTGCTGCCACCTGAACCAGGCCACCAGGTCTCCAGTGGGCAGCACCCGCCTCTCTCTATTTGCCAGTTAAAATATAAGACACCCGATGACATTTGAATTTCAGATAAACCACAAATAATTTAAAAGTATATCCTCAATATTATATGGGAGATATGCTTTAAAAAAATCCAATTTGTAGTTTATTTGAAATTCAAAGTTTACTGGATGTCCTGGATTTTCTCTGCTGAATCTGGCCAGTCTCCCCTTCCCTACCTCTTCGCCCCCACCTGGCATCCATCCTTTATGCAGGAACTGGACTGAGATTTTGCTCGCTCTCTTTTTTTTTTGACACAGGGTTTCATAATGTTGCCTAGGCTGGTCTACAATTCCTGGGCTCAAGCAGTCCTCCCACCTCGGCCTCCCAAAGTGTTGGGATTACAGGCATGAAGCACTGCAAACAGCCTGGACTGAGATTTCTAAAATACCAGCCTGAGTGTGTCATCTCTTACTTAAAACCCTTTCCTTAAAGCAATGTCCATAGCCCGCAGGATCAAGTCCAAACTGCAGGACACTATGTTAGTGGCTTACGACAGTAGCCTTACCCGGTGCTTCTTTCCCCTGGGTCTTCCAGAGTCCCCCTCTCCTCTGGCCTTGGGCTGTGCCCTCTGCCTGGACACCTCACCCTCATTTGCATCGTAATTTCTTATCCTTGCTGCCTCAACTGAAGCAACAGGCCTGTGAGACTTCTCTGACTCTTGCCCCAGGTCCAAGCTATTTGTTCTTGCTGAGCTCTCTTGATGATAACGACTTGTTTAATTAACTCTACAGTGCCAAACTCTCAATGCCATCAGGGCAGAGACCACTAAGCCCCTTGCACTTAACAAAGGGCCTCGCATACAGTAGGTGCCCAATAAATGCTGCCGAATCACTGACTACTGTAGAAAGTGTTCAACATCATTTGGGTCTGGGGTAGCTGCGCATCAGCACACAGAGACACATAAGGCCAGATAAGAGGCTGTCTCTCTAACTATTGCTTTAGGAGGCCAGCCACAAAGATGATGGCTTCTGGCATCTTTCATGGAGACAGGCCAGCACCACTGTAACTTGATGAGACACACTCCTGTCACACCTAATAAATTTGCCAGCCTGTCATCCTCTTCCTTTGCAAAAAAAAAAAAAAAAAAAAAAAAAAAAAAAAAAAAAGGAATCATCTGGAAGTGAACTTAGAAGAACCTAAATCACAGAAGCTCAAAATCTCGATTCCAGACACATTAAAGAATAATGTGGAAAGGTTAAGGAATGCTCCCACCAACCCTTCTGGCAATTTAAATATTGTCTGACTTTAATGATTAAGTTTCTTATCAACTAGCAGCAGCCAGAGGCTTAAGGCTGATTTCAAGTTAAGAACCTGATGCTTTGGGGGACCCCAGGTCTCTTGCCTCATCCAGATCCCATTAATCATAGGACTTTGTTATGTCGGCCTTGTCCTTCCAAATGTTCTCCTGGCAAAATGCTCATGGAAGGGCAGATAGCTCTGAGTTCTTTCTCTAGATTAGAGAAACTCCTATGACATGACAGATTTTATTTTCTCCACTTAAAGAACAACACATGGCTTCATGCATTTCCATTGTTTTCCTTCTCTCCTACGTTCCCCTGGATTCAGTTCCTTTGCTCAAAGCCAAATCCATTCATTCCAAAACCCCCCTTCCCTTGATTTCTCTGTCCCTATCATTTGTAAATTAATTTTTCCAGAGCCTCAAGCCAAGATTTTACCCATTCTACTTGTCTGGAGGACTCCTTTCTTAATTGATTTTTATGAAAATTGATTTGTATTGAGTAAGAGCATCTGAAATACACACACACACACACACACACACACACACACACATACACACACACCTGTTTGTGTAAGTACTGCCTGGCTGAAGGACACTTAAAAAACTGAACTGCTTTCACAAAATGATTTCTTCTGGGAGGGTGCAGGGGGCTAGTGGGTCTTCTGTTTAGATCCTACTATCTAACACAGTAGAATTCTAGTCTTGGAGACTGACAAGCTCATTATGTTGCTCTCCACCCCAGCTGAAGGTCTTATGGAAGAGAGAAAGCTGTAAACAAACAAATATAAAAACTAAGTGAACTCAGTATCTGAGGTTCAGCTGAAAGTTGAACAAGGGAAGCTGGTCCCAAGCCACTGAAGTGTTTAGAAGTGACAAAATCCTGGTTCCTGAGGAGGCACAGCTGAGTTTAATAACTGCTGTTTCACACATTAGACAAAGCTGTCAATTCCAAAAGGAAAACAATTGTAAGTGAGATGGAGGCAAGCCAGAGAAGAGAGCAGAAGACGGGGTTGGAAGTAGGGGGTGCCGAGCAGCGTCTGACCCTGGCTCTCGATGGGCAGTCACCCAGGCTGTCATCCAGAGGACTGACTGAGCAAGTTCCCGGCAAGGTCTCAACATCTGGGGCAGCTCATGGACCTCAGTAGACTGGCAAGTGGTCTTGCCCCATTCCTTTTTTTCTTGGTCTATCACCTGTACTCAGAGCAACCATATGAATGGTCCCCAACCCCCAAAATGCCACCAGGAGAACATGAGGATGCAAATACCCCAGAGTAGATCTTCAGCACCCAAAACAATAAAAATGTCCTCCAGAGCCAGCAGAACCTCTAACAATTCAAAAATGTCAAACAGACCACACAGTGATCAACAGAGTTACCCGGCACGCCAGGCAGAAGAATTGCATTACTATTACTCCCACCGACAATGGCAGCAAACACTGCCAGGGAGTGTTCTCATGGTCCAGGCACTGCACCAAGAAATCCTTACCGGCATTATCAAGTTCTGATAGTCAGAAGGAGAAACTAACTCAGAGAGGGCAAGTAGGTTGCCTAAAGTCTCCCAGCTGGTAAGGGACAAAGCTGAAGCTAAAATTCCAGAGCTGACATCAAAGTCCACCTTGTCACCTCCCCACTGTACCGGTGACCATGCACATTCTTCGGGGGAAGGGGAGGGAATAGGGACCATCTCCTTGAACCCCCTCTCTGACCCTAAGAGGTAACTCCAGTTAATGGCTGCCTGGCCTCCGCACTGGGATCTAAGGGACCCAGGGTGAGAGAGGCATCCCTGGGCGGTCCTGACAGACGGGCCACCACGCATTATCTGTCCCCATCCTCAACTCCGCTGCCTGCAAGAACCCGGCCCCCTCCTGTGCTGAAGACCGGTTTAAGAAAGCTAAAGTTCATCAGTGGTTCTGGTGGGAAAGAAATAATAGATACCCTTGGCATAATTTTTCTTTGTGAGTTTGTTTCTTTGCTGAATGCCTGCCCTAGAATGTCATCATCGGAAGGTATTCTCTGAGCCCCTTTCCCTTCCAAGGCCATGTCCTGCAGGCTTTAGGCCACAACTGAAGCCTCTCTTTGGAGTTTCTTATCTTTTCAGGGACCCTAGCAGCTTTTATTTTCCCAAGCTCTCCCGAGGACCAATCAGTGGTGCGGCTGCAGGAAGCCAGGGTCTCAGGAGGGAAGGGACAGCTCGCCCCTCACCCAGGAGGCCCTCCCAGCCAGTGTGCAGCCGGCGCGCCTCACCTGCACGAAGCCCCAGAGCGGGTGGAGCGCGCAGTGCAGCAGCAGCGAGGACCAGCAGCAGCCACGGCGCAGCACCAAGTCCCGGAGGAGCATCTCGGCCCGCGGCGCCCGCTCCTGGGGCGAACTGTCAGGAGATCAAGGCTCGGGTCAGGCGGACACCGCGCGAACACTTTCGGCGCCGCGCACCAACAAACCTCCCAGCCTGGGTCGAGCGGGCACGCCCCGCACCCTGGCGCACGCTAGTAAACCAAGCCTGCACTTACACTCCGCCTTACACCTTCACTGACTCTTCGTGCATCCCAGAATCCCAGAATTCACACCCTTTTCCTATGCACATCCCCAGAATTCCGCATGTACACTTTAGCTCCGCACACAGCTCCAGAATACTGCGTGCATACCTTGGCCCCATGCATACCTTGGCCCCATGCATACCTCCAGAAACAGCCAAGCACACTTACTGCGCCCCATGAACCCCCAGAAGCAGCCATGTACAACTCACTCTCACTGTGAGCACACTTCAAACCCAGCGGGCACTACTCACTCTGCGCGCACACCCACAGAAACAGCTGTGCACACCCACCGACCCCTGCCCGCACCCTCGCTGACCCTGCATGCACGGCACCAAGAAATCACTCGCTGCGTGCACCCTCACTGCCCGGCCGGCCTCATTGCGCACACTGCAACAGAGGCACCTCAGTGCGCTGCCCCTCTGCACGCCCCCGCCCAGCCCTGATCTCCAGCTCCCGGGCGTGGGTTTTCCCCCACGCCTCCATCTCCGCCCGCACCCTTGCAACGCCTCACGCCACCTTGCCTGGCGGCGGCCCCAGCCGATCCTCGGCTCGGGAAGGAGAGTTCCGCGTTCCCCCCGCGGCAGCTCTGTTGCCGAGCCGCCGGACAGCCCCCATTTAAAGCCAGCCGCCTCCCCAGTCCCCCGCCCTCTAGGCGGGGCCTCGGTCCTCACCCTGGCGGCTGCGCGGGCGCGCGGGGGCTTCACATGCCGGGCAGGAGCGCCCGGCGCTGGAGCAAAAGTTTGCGCGCCGGTTGGGCCTCCCCGGCGGCGGAGCAGAGGACCAGGAGCGGCGTCCTCGCACGGGGCGCAGGGCGCGGTGGCTCCGGACTGCGCCTGGCCGCGCGCGGGGCGAGAGGGGTGGCACCCCGCGCCCAGGGCCGGGGCGGGTCTCCTAGGCGGAGGCAGAGGGCGGGGAAAGTCTCCTCCAAGCCGCCAGGAGCCGGCCGTGCGAGCCCTCCCCCGGCCCGCGTTGGCTCCCCGCCCTTCCCGGTGGCGCCGCGCGGCTGCCCGGGGCACGGGGGTGCCCAAGCTGTCTGCGACCCTCACGCCGGCCCAAGAGAGGCAGCGGCGGTAGGCGCCGGCAGGGAGCGCCCGCTGGGGCAGCAAAGCCGCGAGCGGAGGCGAAATAAATAATGCACGAAAAAGGAAAACAGACGTGAGCCGAGCCAGAGCCTCTCCCGCCTCCCGCCCCGGGCTGCGCTCCCGCCCGCGCTCCCCCCACCTCCTCGCCGCCGCCGCCGCCAGCGCTGCTGCAGTGATTCCTCGTCTCCATCTAGCGAGGCTATTGTGTATTGGGCGCTTAATTATTTATTCACCCTGGAGGCCGAGGATTCCCAGTTCCAAGGGGTCTTGCCCCTTGCCTGCCCTTCCCCCAAGCCTCTCCCGAGGCTGCGGAAAGGTGGTGAGTTCTGACTTGAGACCCTGTTTTGCGCTCCATCCCTGTGGACTCTCCCCGCCGCACTCCCGGCAGGCTCTCCTGGGCGCCAGGGCTGGAAGATGCAGGCCGCCCCTCTCCGGGCCAAGGGCCTTGTCCTCTCCTTTGTAGTCCAGCAGCAGGAACTCTCTTGCAACACTAGGCTGCGGCTGGAAGGAGTTGTGACGGCTCTGGGGAGAACATTTCTACCACTGCTATTCCTCAACCATCTGCAAACTCCTGTATGAGGCAAGATTATCAACAAGTTGGTTCTTCGGAAAGTAGCTTGGTTACACCTCTTTCAAACCAGCTGCGCCTAGCAGCATCCCAGGCAGGCGGCCGCTCTGCTCTGGGGCGGAAGCGCATTGACGGATGGGGAGCGCCTTCCAGAAGGCCCTCAAGGCCTGGACAATCCTATTTTAAGATTGAATGAGAGAACCAGGGGCTTAAGACACAGAGCAGAGGGTCAGGCACTGCAGCACACGCATGGAAGAACCCTTTACTGAGCACCTTTTCCCAGTATTTGGACATCCTTAAGCCACTCCTGTAAACACACGCTATAAACTGCTGGTTTGCAGAGTATAAAGCACCTTGCAAAACAGCTTTCGGAACAATGTCTTAGCGGCCTCCTTCATGCCAGGGCGCTGCCCCAAGGCTCTTTGCCACATAAATGCTGCAGATTCTACCTCAACCAGCAAGATGCAGGGACGAATATGAATGAGACCCTGTCCCTTCTCCCCCAAGAATTCAGGGAGACGGATAAAACCCACCATTCTACTGTGATCTGGCATGTCACTCCCGCTGCCCTGAGAAAGGGGAAGACTGAGGAATGGAGGGCGGGTTGAGTAAAGGCTCCTAGGAGAGGGCGGCTTCTTGCGAGTAGGAACATCTCAAGCATCGGTAACCCTGGGCAAAGAAATGGAGACGTTTGTTCAGTCCTTCATTCCTTCATTCCATATGTAGCCTCCATGCGCACCAGCAGGAGCCAGAGAGAACACTGGATGCGATGCTGTGTAGAAAAGGGAACAAGAGGATATCTCACTGGGGATGGGATAGGATGGGAGGAGGATGGGAAGAAGATGACAGGGTAGGGGCTTCCCAGGTGACTCATCAAGAGTTTGGAGAAATTGAGCCGTTATTGGTCAGCTGAGGTCAAAATAACACTGGCTATTTGAATGCCTGTCCAGCTGAAACCAGTCGTGGAATTTTGCTCAGCATGATCTTTACATTTGACAACAGCCCCTGACATTTCTCCATGGAGCTCTTTGCCACTTACAAATGGTATTTACACCACATTTTAATTCAGTTCTCACAACTCTGTGATGTAAGTGTGATTGCCCTGTGTGAGCAGCTCAGAGACCTTTGTGCCTGAGCCAGAATCACGCAGCAGCTCACCGGGTGTTTGGAAATACTAACCCCCAACCCATGATGTTGGGAGAACTTAGGTAGGTTTTGTGCATTGGAAAATTACATTGTCCAATCTTCAGTATTGCTATAGTGGACCTAATCTATGTATCTTTTGAGGGTCACCTGGCCCCACATCCTCCTGACCCTCCTGTCACCTCCCTTAGGGTGAAGACCAGGCTCTTTCACAGGCCTCTCATGCCATGGGAAGCCTAGGAAGGACATGACTCCTCTCAGCCTTTTCAATCAGATGGTAACACACACCATGGCCACATAAGGTCTGCCTACAGGGGCCCGATACCTCTACTCAGAAATACAGAGGAGTTAAAGCTTGGGGCACCATTTTGACCATTGAAGGACAAGAACTGGAAGGGACCCAGCATATGGAGTGCACTGGTTCCATCTGGCCCATCAAGAAATGTCCAGTAGGTGCAATTGAGCAACTGGCTGTGTTTGCTTCTGAGGATGTGACCAGCTCAATGATGTACAACGTGGTGATGCACATCTGTAGCCCTAGCTACTTGGGAGGCTGAGGCAGGAGTTCAAGAACAGCTGAGGCTGAGGACTCCTCTGAGTCCAGGAGTTCAAGAACAGCCTGGGCAACACCACGAGACCCTATGCCACAAAAATGCCCAACTTTCTATTAGCTTCCCTCTTTCCCTGCTTCACTTCCTGTTCCCCTTGTGTCTGTTGCCCTAGGATTGTATCCCTCAGTAAAGTATAAGCAACAGGGACAACTGCTACCACAAATGGTCCTAAAAAGTAGACCTTCAGGATGGAATGTTGGAGTTGGATTTCTCTTTTATCTATAACAGGGGCCCCACTGTTGGGCCATCACTGACATACAGTGATAGTACAATTTCTAAAGCTTCACCTGCAGCTAATTGGAATGAGATGCAGGTAGAAAATAGGTTTTATGAGATCAAATGGCCATTGCATTTGGGGTTAAGTGGCTTTTTCTGATGTATTGGAGGTCTTGCAAAGAGAAAATTACAGACTCAGGAAATTTCTCTACCAGCGTAAGGCATGCTTTGAAATGAGAGCTTTAAGGACACTTTTGACATCTACCAGACAGATTGCACTGAAAATTAGCCTGGGGACTGATTATAAGGGTGGCAGAGCTAAAGAAGAGACTAAATGTACAGCCCCATAGATGTCTTATGTCCAAGTCACAGCTCTGATTAAAAAAAAAAAAAAAAAAGCGTTGGAGCTGATGACCTGGAATGGAAACTTTTGGGTAAACAAACCTGAAAATCATGGACCCCGATCTCCTTGAATCCTCTGGCAGGTAGAAGCAACTCTCTTCTGCTTGTTAGAACAGAATAGCTCCTCTTGGCCTGGGGACGACAATGGCCTCATTGAAGCAAGAACCTTGCAAGATAGTACTTGCTTTAATGACAATACCTTCAGAAAATACATGAGATGCCAGAACTTTTTTTCTGGCACAAAAAGAAGAAAAGGACCAGAAGTCTCAGAGGCTTCGAATCATAACATCTGAGAACCTACCACTTGTCTACATTTCCTAGGATGGCCCAGAGAATCTTCCCTTCACTGAAACAGAAAAAAAGAAGTCCTGGTGAGCACATCAGCACCTTTGAGAAATTCAGTGGTGGTTCTCTTCTGAAGGCTGGGCTTGATGATGGGAGATGGTGGGGAAATGGACTCTTTTGGATTAATAGCAATCAATGTAATGGTGAAAACCAGGTGGGATACTGTCATGCCAGACAAAGTGAGCATAATTACCATAATGGACAGCAAGGCCAGAGTAGCAACCAGGGTGCCTGGAGCCATAAGAACCTATGCTAATTGCCAACAGATCATCACATAATGGGGGGAGAGACAAATGGGGAGCTAACAGCGGTATAGCTTGACTTGTATAAATATATATATATTTAAAATCAAGAGTGTAACAGCAGAAAGATGGTATCTACTGCAATGAAAATTATCTATGATTGTTCAAAGCCCAGAGCCTATGACTAAAGGGGAGGCTGGATTTCTGAGGCATTAGGTT